GGCTTAGGGTTTAGGGTTTGGGGAGCTATTCATGTGAAGCTGGCTACTGCAAGCCCACATCCTTCACAGCTCGGCTGTGCCTTTCTACGAGGCCTACAAAAACCCAAAACCCAAAACGCTAAACCCGAAGCCCTAAGCCCCGAAACCCAAAACCCTAAACCCTAAACCCAAAACCCTGAACCCCCAAACCCTAAACCCTAAACCCAAAACCCTAAACCCTGAGCCCTCAAGCCCAGGATAAGTAGGAATTGCTTGTCCTGAAGTGCATGGCCATACAGATTCCTGTACGATTGCTCTGCTTTCAATGTTTGACGGACAGAATGGAAGCGCAGAAACGAAAGTTCCAGAAACAAATGTGTTTCCGCGGCTGCACAGGGACAAAGTCGCTTAGAACTCCGACCAGAACCCTACACACTTTCAATTTCTGTTCGAAGGGCAAAAAGCCAAGTTTCACAGGGCAAATGAAATTTAGGGCGAAGCAAATAAAAAGCGAAACCCGGTCAAAACCCGCGCAAAACTCAGGACCTGAACCCACAACAATTTCTCTATACCCTTAACCCAAAACCCCAAGGCAAAACCCAAAACCCTGAACCCTAAACCCCAAAGCCCCAACCCTCTGAGGCCTGAGCTCTCTGACATAAACAGCTCGGCTGCAAGACCCAGTCGCCACAGCAGTCGTCGAAGAGACGACAACCTCGAGCGTTTAGGGTTTAGGGCTTTAGGGTTTAGGTTTTAGGGTCTTGTAGTTACAAGCGGTGCAAACCGGAGGGTAAAAAGATACAATTATGCAGTACAGTGAATTAGAAAAACGATGCATACTTTGATCAGTAGATGGTATCGTATAACCGTAATATACTTCTGAAAGCATCTTACATTTTACTACTGCATATGTAATCCAAGTATAAAAGACAGTATATAGCTTCGTATAATGTAGCAGCAGACTGTATAAAATGCAGCACAAAACTAAGTATACATATCGTCGTATTATATAGTATAAGTTTGGCACATATTCTAGTATGAGAAAAGTACATATTATGCTATAGACTATAGTATAGTTTATAGTACTGTATTATATAGTATACAACCCCGCCCTAAAACCCTAAACCCGAAACCCTAAAACCCTAAAACCCTAGACCCTAAACCCTAAACCCTAAAAACCAAAAAACCTAGACCCTAAACCCTAAACCCTAAAAACCTAAAAACCTAAACCCTAAAACCCTAAATCCTAAAACCCTATAAACCCTAAAACCCTAAACCCTAAAACCCTATAAACCCTAAAACCCCGAGCTTCGGACCCCAGAAGAAACTCCGGCATCTCCTCACTCTCTTGAACGCACTCACGCTCCTGGCAGGAAGCAGAGGCTTGGAGTTTTAGAGTTCTAGGGTTTAGGGTTTAGGGTTTAGAGTTCAGGGCTTTGGGTTATAGGGTTTAGGGCTTTAGGGTTCTAGGGCTTGGGGCTTTGGATTATAGGGTTTAGGGCTTTAGAGCTCAGGGTTTTGGGGTTTAGGGTTTGAGGGTTTAGGGCTTAGCGTTTAAGGGTTTAGGGTTTAGGGCTTAGGGTTTTAGGGCTTAGAGCTTTAGGGTTCTAGGGTTTAGGTTTCAGAGCTTAGGGTTTTAGGGCTTAGGGTTTAAGGGTAAGGGTTTTAGGGTCTGGGGTTTAGGGTAGAGGCTGTCTGCATATGTCTTCGTCAGGGCTGCCCATCGAACCACCTCCCGACCTAACGACCTGCCCACCTGCCGACCCCACCCACCCACCCCCTTACTTACGTCGTAGTAGTAGTCGTAGTAGTAGTAGTAGTAGTAGTAGTAGTAGTAGTATCGTTGTTGTAGTTAAGTCTGGGACATGGTCTTTTTCTGATGAACTGCAATCTGTGTCATTGCCTCCTCTGACCAATCTCGATCCGCAGGTTGCGACATCCTCGGCAGCAACCACGAATCAAGCGAGGCATGACCGCGATCATCATCTTCGGTATCAGTCAGCATGGACATCAGAGTTGTTAGTGCAATTACCTCAATTCCTATTTTATTGATGCTACTCTTCTTCTTGTTATGCTCAGGAGAAAGCGTTGTGGAGCACTCCACCAGAAGGTCGCGCAATGCTTTGATGCTCACCAGCGTTGCCTGGCATCATGGCATTTCAGCCTGTCCGACCCCTATAGCTTGGACTGGCGATTCCCGAGCCTGCAAAAAATCGAGAACGTTCTGCGAGGTCAAAGCCTCAATCGCTCGGCACATCTGCCTGCGCAATGCCGTCATGGATATGCGAAGTTCACCGTTTCCCTGCTACCCCCCCGCTACGGCAAGACCGCAGCAAACGGCATCCACTCCCCAAACCCTAAACAATAAACCCCCCTAAACCCTAAACCCTGGCCCTAACCCCCTATCCCTGACCCCAGTCACCACTTGCTATGCCTTGCTCGGCGCTGCTGCCTCACCAGGCTTGGCCTCGAGCAACATCACAGAGGACCCCACCAGACGGTGTAGGTTTAGCGAACATCTGCAATGCCCAGAGACTCCAAAACCCCTTAATTCAGGAATATACCTTAAGTTATAGTAGGATCCCTCATATGATTTAAGGTATATTCCTTAATTAAGGGATTTGGGAGTCTCTGCCTGCGCCCCCGACCTTCCAAAATCCCCCGAATTGAGGAGTATACCTCAAATCATAAAGGGATCCCTCGCATGGTTTAACGGAACTTAACGTATATCCCTCAACTTAGGGGATTTTGGAAGGACTGCCTGAACCCTAAACCCTAAACCCTAAACCCTAAACCCTAAACCCTAAACCCTAAACCCTAAACCCTAAGACTGCCTGTGCTGCTTGTAGGTGCCCGGCAGCACATGGAGACAGTTGGGGCGGGGCTCGGGACAAGCGGACCTTCCAAGGCGGCAGACCCAAAGCGGGACATCGGAGTTAGGGGCTTAAGGTCTACATTTTGGGGTTTTCGGGTTTAGGGTTTCAGGGTTTAGGGTTTAGGGTTTAGGGTTTAGGGTTTAGGGGTTTGGGGTTTAGGGTTTAGGGTTTAGGGTTTAGGGTTTAGGGGTAGCCATGCCTGAAGTTGCTCACTGCAACTTCCAAAGCCGCACTGCTGACGGAATCGCCCATCCATTGACACCTGCATGACAGAGGGTTTAGGGCTTTAGAGTTTAGGGTTTAGGTTTCAGGGTTCAGGGCTGACTGGCTGTGCAGCCCGCAGAACAGGTGCTTGTTTAAAGTAAGAACCACAAAGCTGCAAATAATGTTCTAAATATTTCTGTAAGTAACATGAAGAATACGAGGTTTAGGGTTTAGGGTTTAGGGTTTCTTACATAAACGCCAGTACAGAGAACAGAGCCTGCCTCTCTTGCAGCTGCTCTGCTGCCCGCTCTAGGCCTGGCAGTGACAAGCATGCAGAAGCAGAAGCAGCCTTAGGGTTTAGGGTTTAGGGTTTGGGGTTTGGGGTTTAGGGTTTGGGGTTTCGGGTTTCGGGTTTCGGGTTTAGGGTTTAGGGCTTGGGGTTTAGGGTGTGGGGTTTAAGGTTTAGGGTTTAGAGCATACTTAAAGGATCATGGGACTTAGTAACTTAAAGGGTTCCTATACGGTTTAGGGCCTGGGGTTGCTAAAAGGATCCGGGGACGCAGTAACTAGAGTCAGACATAAGGTTACTATCCTTATACTTACTTATCACCCGAATTAAGGCACTTGTAACCTTACTAAATCCCTAGATCCTCCATTTAGGGTTTAGGGTTGAGGGTTTAGAGTCTCAGTGGCACTGCATGGAGACTTGACTAAGGGGCAAGCTCTTGTCGCCATCGCCAGTCTCCACCAGACGTCTCCACGCCTAGCAGTGACCAAACCAGGCACAGACTTCAAGCAGCACCGGAGCTTCTTGCCAGCATTCTTGGTATTATAGGTCGTATCGCTACAAGTCTCAAAAGCATAACAAGACATGCCAGTAGTACTGCACATCTTGTTACCGGTACGGTTGATGATATAAATCCTGCATTATCCATAATTTGGAATATGCCATAATTCCCATAGTTTGGTGTCCGTAGCATAATGCAGGATTTATATCATCAAACGTATTGCCGCTCTTTGTGCACCCCAGTCGAAAGCCCCTTGGCATCTCGGAAGCTCGAAGGGATCCGCCCCCTTCTTTTCCCAAGGGTCTCGAAGTGCTCAACTGAGGCCCTGGATCTCATGAAGTACGCACGGAGGGAAGTAGGGCTTTTGGTTTAGGGACTTAGGGCTTAGGGATTTAGGGTTTCGGGATTTAGGGCGTTGAGGGTTTAGGTGGTTGAGGGTGTTTAGGGTTGAGGGATTTGGGGTTTAGGGCTCTCAGGGAAGATCTGACTCATATAGGAGCCTAAGGTACTACCACTACTAATCAAGACTATTTTGGGGGGTTCCGCATGCTCAAAATAGCATAATATATCCCAACACCCAAAACTAATCATTAAGGTCCCTACACCCTAAACCCTAAAAGCAACCCTGATAGAACCCTCTAAGGACCCCTTTAAAGGAGCCCTCTTCCAATTATTGAGGTCCCTCCACCCTAAACCCTAAACCCTAAACCCTACATTACTTCTTAGGAGATCCGGCCGAGGCCTGCCTCTTATAGGCAGGAGGAGCACAATTCAGACCTTCCCAGGTACACGCCCGAAACCAGCTTTTCTGGTCTCACATGCCCGAATTGCCTACAAGCTTCAATGAAGGAGCAGAACTGGTACTAGTAGGGTTTAGGGGTTAGGGGTTTAGGGTCTAGGGTTTAGGGTTTAGGGTTTAATATTACTCTTACGACTGCTATACTATAGACCGTGGACAGTCTTGACTTAAACAGTTCCGTGTCCACCCAAGCCCTACCAAAGCGGCAGAGATCCGGCCAACGGATCTCTACAGTAGCTCGATGGGCGCCGTGGACTCAACTCTATCCCTGGAGATCTCCGCACAGCAGCTTCATGAAGGCCTCCTGCGGATTCGTGGTTTATGGCGTTTCGGGTTGAAGGTTGTTTAAGGCGAGGGAAGGGCTTAAAGGGCACAGGGTTTAGGGTCTCATCACAAGTTCCACCAAGGACATGCAATGGTCTACAAGAGCCGCGTGTTGGACCGGAGTTGTGTGCGGCTTCTGTTGAACTACCTCGGTGTTCGATGGGTCTTCGACTGACCGTGCCTGTGCCCAGCCGTAACCCTAAAACTAAGCCCTCAAGCCCAAAGCCTAAACCCTGAACCTAAGCCCAAAGCCCCAAAGCCTAAACCCTGAGCACCCTGAGTGGGATTGAGCCAAGTCGTACTGTCGTATTGCCTTCATTATTACTGTAATACTAATACTTGTATTCTGATTGTCATGAGTGTTCTTATTGGTATTACAAGCCTAAACTAAACCCTACACCCTGAACCCTAAACCCCTAAACCCCTAAACCCTTGAACCCCAAACACCTCAACCCTTGAACCCTAAACCCTAAATCCCTAAACCCTATCCAAACCCCCTAAACCCCTGCACCCTAATCCGAAGCCCTAAACCCCTAAACCCCCAAAACCCCTAAACCCTGAATCCTTGAACCCGACACCCCCAAACCCTAAACCCCTAAACCCTAAACCGATGCCCTAAACCCTAAACCCCTAAACCGAAGCCCTAAACCCCTAAACCGAAGCCCTAAACCCCTAAACCCCTAAAACCCCTAACACCCCTAAACCCTAGAAGCCCTAAACCCCTAAAACCCTAAACCACCCTAAAACCCTAAACCCTAAAACCCTAAACCCTAAACCCTAAACCCTAAACCCCTAATCCGAAGCCCTGTGTCCTTGTTCTGATGCGTCGACGTCGTGGGGCGGCCGAGGTCGGCTCGAGCTCCGGGCCTCGGCGTCGTCCAGGAGTCGTGGAGTTTGTTTAGGGTTTAGGATTTAGGGTTTAGGGTTTAGGGTTTAGGGTTTAGGGTTTAGGGTTTAGGGTTTAGGGTTTAGGGTTTAGGGTTTAGGGTTTAGGGTTTACTGTCGAGGGCCTTCATAATTATAATAGTTAGAATAGGGTTTAGGGGTTTAGGGATTAGGGTGTAGGCGTTTAGGGTTTAGGGGTTTGGGGTTTAAGGGTTTAGGGTTTAGGCGTTTAGGGTTGAGGGGTTTTGGGGTTTAGGGCGTTTAGGGTTTAGGGGTTTTAGGGTTTAGGGATTTAGGGTTTAGGGGTTTGGAGTTTGAGGGGTTTTGGGGTTTGGGGTTTAGGGGTTTGGGGTTTAGGGGTTTGGGGTTTTGGGGTTTAGGGATTAGGGGTTT